TATATTTGTAGTTTACATATTGCAAGCATCTAATTTAATAACATTATTTTGAATAAGACATTTATTATCAAAATACAGGTAACAAAACAAGGTTTCAAAGTTATGTAAAGTGTGTATGCTAGAGTCAGGATTAAAAATATTTAAAGTCTTAAATTCTTAGAACATAAGAAAAGCTACAATCCAAGTTAACTTGAACTACCAAAAATGCCCATTATATCCATATCTGGATTTATCAAGAAGATAAATTTGTGATATATATAAATACAAAACATTTGTGAATGCATAAAGCATTAAAGAGATCAAAGTCCCACCAAAATAGCAAAGATGAAATACTTTGGAGGAATTATACTTCTGTTTGATGACAGCAATTTAAATCATAACATTTTCCGCACTGTTATTTTGTTAATCTTCTAATTGATTTGGCCTTGATTTTCAATTCATATATTATGCTAAAACATAACCTTGGTCCTCAAGTGAACACAGACAGAAGAAAAGAAGTAGTGTATAGGCTATGACTCAGTAGCAATGCAATGCATTGCATCTAAACTAAGCCTTTTGATGGGAAGATTGTGCCTTTGAATGGTTGCTGAAGTGAGTCAGCATCACAGATCACCTTGTCAGGAGTCTGACAGGAAAACTGACATTGAAAGCCAAGTTCCAACTGTTTCTGTAATTTACAGCACAAGAAAATCTGCAGCCACCTGTCTAAGGGAAGCAGCCATGCAGCACTTATCGGTCCCTTAGCACTTTTGTCACCCATCTTGTTAGGCCTCTTGCATCAATCAACAGTTTTAGTATAATCTTGTTTTAATAACCTGATTTTCCTTTTGTAAAACTTTTGTAGACAATTTTCACTCAAATTCAAATAGAGAAGTAAAAAAACAACCAATAGTATCACAAAAACCCAAAGGGTGAAAATGTCGGGATATTCATATTATTTCTGGATATTCATATTATTTTTAATGATTAAAACTTGCCCTCATCAGCTTTTAAAGATCTAAAAAAAAAACAGTTTTTCACATGTGTTATACAACATGTTTATCAACTTAATAATATTTGAGTGTAGTTAATATTCGCAAGTCCTAACTAAAACCTTATTCTCTTTACACTGTGTAGTGTTTCTCAAACATCTTTAATCAGGATGCAACCTTCAGTGTCTTAGAAGTCCCTGGCTATGTCAGCAAGAATTAACCTAACTATGCCTCAGATGTAAGTATCAGAAAATTAGGCTCAGGTTTTGAAAAAATTACATCTAATTATAATATAAAATCCTCAAAGCCTAGAGCCTAGAATACTGTAAGTGCTAAAAATGTTCTTTTCTATAACGTCTCCATTTTTATTTTGTTATTCCATTCATTACAAAAGATGCAATAACTCTTAAATTCATCTTAGAGGAATTAATTCAGTCTCATTTGATCATTATGAATAAATCACAGACTGATCAGGAGTCACTTCAATTTATTAACTTTTGGATTGCTAGTATTGCGAAAATCCTTGTCTTTCTAAGATTTAAGTGTCTCAGATTTAAGCACAATGTAAGTAATGTTCCATTTCGATATGTGTCATGCTTTTCTATATCCATTTAACTTTTGCTGTTTGTTATATTACTTGCAGTTTTTGCTTGTGGCAGTTGTGTAGAATACATCTCTAAAGGAAATGCTGAGTTTTGTGATTTGGGAAATACAGGGAAGAAATATATTTCATATTCTTAAGTATTGAAAATAACCTTTGTTCCTCATCTAAAACATCCTTAACTTACACGGCATATGCTTTCATCTTCTAATACTTAAAGTGTTCAAAGGCAAGATTGGATGGAAGAAGGGTGGAGAGAGTCATCAATCATATTTCTTTTTAAGGCTGAACCTTTACTCTATTTATACTTTCAAAGCAAAGAAGGAACAGTTTACTGTATAGCCAAGTGGGACACATTTGTAAAAAAGCTTCAAAGTGTAAAATGAATAACAAAAATACTCTCCTATCTTAACAATACACATTGCTTATTCATATGGCAATGTAATGCATTCCACATAAAAACATTTTAGCACTGCCTATGAACAGGTTAACCAAAGACAGACACACTGGATACTGTTTAATTTGATGATCCTGTTAAATTAGTGCTTGCCACAGTGGCTATCAAGTGTTAGAAAAGTGAAGTAAGTGAGAAGAATAACATGAATAATTTGCAAGTGAATTGTTGATTGACTGAATTTTGTACCTAGACAGCTCATGTAACCTTAGTTTCTTCATCCATAAATTAAACAAATTGTACCTGTCTATCAAAAACCAATATTCCCAAGATCAAGTTTGTTTTTACTGATGTGAATTATTTGGAGATCTTTATGTTAATTTGCTTTTTAAATATCTCTAGCCTTATTAACAATGAGTCATAATCTTGTAGTAGAGAATAAATTCAGTTTGCCTTTTAAAATATAGTGGTGAATTACTGACATTTGGACCAGTTCTGATTTACTTCAGGAAAGACTTTTATTATTTTAACAGATTACTTCTAAGACTTCAAGTTCCTGGAAGACACTTATAAATGTGATATTATAATAGCATAATAGCTGGATCAGCAATGTGTTTTACAAGTATTTACTTAAAAAATCAAAATAAAACTTTAAAAAATTATCTTCAAAGTCACATTTCCCTAGATTGGCAAAACTGAAAGCAAAAAAAAAAAAAAAAAAAAAAAAAAAAAAAAAGAGTAAACAGGAGTGAGGAAGGAATTGAACTATATTTCACATAACTGGCATTTAATTCTAGGGATTTTGCTAAGCATTATAGATACGTTAATTTGGCATGTTAAGATTTTTGATACTTTATCTTGTTTAGTTATTTTACTAAGAAAACTGTTTATCTGACTTAAATAGATTTTTAATGATCCATAGTTGAAATACTTATAATATAAACTAGTATGAGTTCTCTGTATGGCTCTTTGTTTAACTTTGTATCATCTAAAACTCTCTTCCTGAGAATAGCTGATGACCAGGAAATGTCTTTATAGCTTCAAGTTGTTCATAATGTAACTGAGTTTATCCAATATACCAACTTTTATATGAAATATCTTATATTTTATATAAAGTCACAGACCCTTTTGACAATATGATAGAACAGCTTTCAAAAAACATGTCCCTTTTTTTGGATCGGGTCTTTATATTTGGGGGGACTGATTGTTTTGAGTTCTTTATATATCCTTGATAATAGTCCTTTGTCTGAGGTACAGCTGGTAAAAATTTTTTCCCACATTGTAGATTGTCTCTTAGTTCTGCTAATGGTTTCTTTTGAAGTACAGAA